CCTAACTTAGATATCAGAATAAATATTAATTTATTATCCAGGTAATCATGATACATAAATTTGACAAATTGAATTCTGCACTTCCTGTTATGCATTTTCTGAAGCTTAAGCTTTATCCGTTAATAAACAATCGGATTCGTTCAAAAAGTATACAATGGATGTTTTAAATTACAATCGATGTTCAAGTGCAGTTGAAATTTCACATGTTGACAACTGAACCCAACTAACATGCACTACCTCAAATATAAAAAGACATTCACAGTTAATTTAATAATCTATCTTACTGCAAATAAATTTTACCATTCAGCTTTTGTTTACTTAATCAACAGTTCCAATTTCTTTTCTGAAACAGTGAAAGCTAAATAAATTAAACTTTTTATTGTGCTTGTGTGTGAGTGTACATTTAAAAATTAATATATATATATATATATATATATATTTGGAAAGATATAATTTTCAGTTTAGCATTTCTTTTTAGGCTTTTTGTGACAGTTATTAATCAAATATTTTATTTCTCACAGAACGGAATTACGAATGATTAATTGTGAAATTGATAATATGGTAAATTGTATTTGTGCTAACTTTATACTTTTCAATAGACGTTTTGTTAATTCCCTGCATATACTCATGCATATATACACTTCTGCCTAATTATAAAAAAAGTTAGGTAAATTAATGACATCCTGATAGTCGTGGTTGACCACTATCTAATCAAGCGTATTATTGTCATTTATTAAAATTCACTAGCACAATTTGCTTCGCATGAAGTCGATTGAGACATAATAACAGTCACAATTACAAATTAGACAGGGAGACATAAACAGAAAAGCGCAAACTGTATAAAAGTACATCAGTTTGAATTTTCCCAATGTCTCCGAAAGTGTGTAGCAACAGAAAACAAAAAGTAAACAGATTTCCTGATGGAGAATAGAGAGAAGGGCGATGTGACATGCAGTAAATGCCGAAGCATTCACTTTATCGTGGCATATTTTTAATAATATCCTATTTAAGAATTCAGTGGCCAGATTCCCTATTGTTTCAATGAAACTGACAGTAGATCCCACATTTTTCCATGCAGCTTACATTAACATTTATTGCCTTCAGGAATTGCTGTCTTCCTTATATCCAGCCATCAGAAACACTTTTCGAAACTAACTCTACTTAAGTGGATATTACAGTACTGAGAAAACTTGTAATGTTCGAAATCTATTTGGCGATTCAAGTGCTGAAAGAAATCTAATTTAACACCCCGCTTATTATACCGTGCCTGTCTCTGACATGTCCCATGAAGTTATGGCTGTATGGCTTGGATACTCAATATCTAGTTGATAAGTCTCAGCTCTGCCTATTTTGGCCTTGTTAAACGGCTATCACAAGTCCCCACATGATATCTGACTCACAGTATGGTAAATACACACGCACCAGGTTGTTCCCTTGTACATTCATAAAGATAGATAACCAGGTTGTTTTTTATGTAGTTCTACACGCCTAATAAGGAAATACCTTTTGCCCTGGCAAATCCTTCTACTTTGGAATCCGTTTCACAGCTGTTAATCAGAATAGAAATAGCTCATTTTCAGCATACTATTTTATTGATAGATAATTCAACAATTCGCAGGTGACCAAGATTAGCAGGGTACATAGTGGTAGTAGTGGTTGTAATTCTTTACTTCAGAAGTTATTTAGAGTTGCACTGGAATTAGTTTTTTCAATGTTGTTTAATTTTAACCGTTAGTTTTTTACCACTGATAACAGTGAGAGCATAGCAACCTTGAAATAAAAAGATTTTATTCGCAGACTTAACCTTAGAAATGTTTAAATAAATCTTTAGTCTGAGTATATTGATAACTTGTACAAAATACAAATAAAGTACCCGTTCTTACTTAGGATAAAAGCAAACCTAAATTATAATAATTAATAAATTAAATATGAAGCTGTCGACACATGCGTTGAACAGATAATTGGGAACAGTTTGGATTCTAATAAATTATGCATTTGTTCACTGAAGTAATAATAATAAGGTTATAAGCAAGTGGCTGTTGAACCATCACGATACTGAAAGAAAAGCTCAGACACTGTTTATTATTACGTATCTAGGAAATAGGTTGCTTTGTTGAGATTTCAGTGCCATAATTATTTGGTAACCAAGGGAATACGTTTGGAAAAATATTTGCGCTCTTTTATACGCCTCAAGGGCTCATCTTTTGTCTTAACCAAGCAATAAGATCTTTCGTATTTTCACCGCTAACTGTTACATCTGATGATGTAACAAAGAACATGAAGAGAACCAGTAGCTAAAAGGTAGAAATTATTATCTATTCACCTTGAAACTATATGATGTAAACTCTGTTGATTTCTCTGCAGTCACTTGTTCGGCAAGTTAACCGGGGACATGTAACAAATAGTGAGTGAGTTGCTCTTGAAAATAAAACTTCAAGCCAAATTCATGCTACCTGTATACGGTCAATGGAGAGGCTTTTTGGTCTTCTTCAAGTAAACCAAAGATGATGCATATGAAATCGGAGTGAGACATTTTCTGAAACAGAAAACCCCACTTTAAACCTGGTTTTACAGATTATGATACTGTTCAGAAAACCAACATAAGTATCCAAAATATACGTTAGCGATATGCATTTTGTCGATATATCTCACTTTGATCAGAATGGGCTGTTCTGTGAACCTTCATAAACTTAGCTATAAATTTTCGTCGCAATATCTCATTTTATCAATTGACATGCATCAAACATGGTCAAAATATGATTATTATCCATCCCTTGTTTGATTTGAGGTATATATATACACTCAGACATATACATATAGCAATGAAATATGAAATTAAAGAAAATAGCCTCAGAAATTCAACTTACGTGCAGAACGTACAGACAGACTAAGTGATGATGACCTCATAAATAGTCAGCCTAGTCATTGTAATTAGAGAATTTATTTACTTATCCCTTGAGTTCCTAGTAGAACATAGGGCTTAGGTAGCAAGTCTCCATTGCACTCTGTTCTCCGCAGTATCTTCAGCCTGGCTACATCACTGCCCACAAGCTTTCACTTCTTCATCACACCATCTCCTCAATGTCACTCTCCGCTCGGACTCCCAAATCGGCGTTTTCCATTTGAGTTCCACTCGAGGGCTTGGCCTGACGCGTGATGTCTCCAAACGGTCTTCCTTCACAGTGTATGTCCAGTCTAATCCATCTCCACTTCCTTCTGCATATTTATTTGGAGATGGGTTGTTGGTTGGTTCGTTGCCGGCCAGAGTTCCTTGTTGCTAATTCTTTCTGGCCATCTGATATGATCTCCAGTAATGAGTGAGCGTAGGCGACAGCTGTGGATGTGATGTATGTCTGTAGTTGGAAATGCTTTCCGTGACGTGCCGCCACGTCTCTCAACCATCACACAGAAGCACTGACTCACCTGACTGACTTAGTGTTGAAGATCCAGATCTTGTTCACGCTTTGAGCTGAGTGTAGTGCAGTATCGTAGGTGGATCTCCACACTCGTTTCAGCTTAATGAAGGCCTGTCTTGCTTTTTCATTACTGGATTTCACATCCTCATCTGTGCCACCGCTGCCTGTAGTTGAAACGATGCTGCCTTGTCTAGGTAGGTGAAAGAGACCACTTCCTTAAGGCTTCTCTCGTTCATGGTGATCGATATTTGTTGTTGTTTTTGTAATTGGTGCCGTTGTTGTTGGTGGTAGTGGTGATTAGGTATCTTCATCACCTCTGTCTCCTCTACGTTCACCTGAAGGGAGTCTCATCTACGCTGCCTCACCTCTTCTGTCAACTTGTTGGTTTTTGCTTGTAGATCTTCGAGTTTGTGCGACAAGACATCAGACATAAATCATCATTGGCGGCGAAATCCAAATCGTCTAGGGTTTCTTCATCGGTCCAGCCAGCGTATTCCCTTCTTTTCACAGCTCTTCACAGTTTGTTGCATGATCCTCTCCACTTCACTCCAGTCCAGTCTTGTTCAGTCCATTCCAGTCGACCATAATCAGGTAGATGACCGGTGATAGTAGACGGCAGGCAACCTTGTCTTACCTGTCGACCTGTCTTCACTTCAGAGGGGTCACTTAGCTTTCCATTGTGAATCACTTGACATGTAGCTTGACCATATTGCATATGTCTACTGCTAAATGGGGTTTATGAGGGTTTCTGGCACTAAAACCGTGGCGTCGAAGCATCCGCCTGCTAAATCACTTGTCGGTCGACGCTGTCGAAGGCGTTTTCGAAACTGATGAAGTTGAGGTACAGGTACAGTTGACTGCCATTCAATACTCTGTTCTACGATGATGCGTAGCGTAGCGCTGCCTTGTAATTTGATCCACACATGATTTGTTCTTCCTGAAGCCAGACTGTTCCGGTGATAATTTTTAATGCAGTACATCTATGAGTCTCTCCAGGATGATGTGGCCCAATATTTTGCTTCGGGTCCACAGTGACAGAAGCCTGATTCCGCACCAGCTTTTGCAAACACTTAGGTCTCCTTTTCTTTAGGAGTTTGACAAGATAGCCCTTCTTCCAGTCGGTAGATACTTTTCCTTCTTTCCAAACCTTCTGCATTAGTGGTATCAGCGTAATTGCAGAATGATGTTTGCAAATAAATTCCAAAAATAGTGTTAGCAGTCGTAAGTAGTCATGAGATAGAAAATAAAGGAGATCAAAGCAATCTAGATATGTGCATAATATAAAGCATGCATTTGTTTGTGCATACACGCGTTTCGTCCTGTTTGAGACTCATCAGCAGGATATACCTGGCTACCAGTGAGTGTTGTTCCCACTACGAGGAGGTATATACAGCTGACGAAACTTAAATAGGGCAAAACGCACACTTTGGAATCCTCTGCTAACCACTATCCATTATTTATATGTAACTGAAAAACAGGAAATATTAAGCCATCGCCCAGAGGCCCAAGTTTCAATAGAGACTGATCAATTCGGTCTACTCAGCGACGAGATAATACAAGCAACAACGTTATAATTAGACTCACTTCGTTTCTCTTGGTACATATATTGTGTTATTACCAACCGAAGGGAATATAAATCTAGGTGTATTATCATTCACGTCTAACACGTGTATTAGAACAACAGTCGTAGATGATAACTTCGGCTTGCCTTGATCTTCTACACGAATTGCTAATTCATACAATGGATATAATTCACGATCCAGTTTTGATCGACCCAAATAGATTTGTCCATCTTTAGCTATGAAAAATCTTAGGGATAAAAAGCAAAGTTGTCAAAAATAGTTTTTACTTAAGGTCTAGTTTGAAAATAAATGAAATAATGTTAGTTTTGGTACCAAAGAAAACTAATTTCACCTAATTGTTAGCTCAATCATAGTTCTTGAGCATAATTTCTGTTTTACTGCTGTTGAATGAATCCTTGATATGAATAAACAAACCTTAAACCAAAACCAGTTAAAATGAAAGACCGAAGAATATGAGATATTTATAACTAATTTATTTTAGGTTTGGTTGATAAACTAATAGCCATATTCTTTGTTAAACTTGCCAGTAAACACTTTTACCCAAAACTCCGGCACAACTATCCCGGAGTTATTAAAACGTACATTTTACCACTTTTCAGTTTCAAATAATGTTACCAAAAAGGTCACTTTCCTATAGAGAATAACCTACTCACCGATTCCATCAATAATATATATATATATATATATATATATATATGATATTATTATTACTCCTGCAACTGACACAGTGCAATTTTTCATACAAAACTTCGTTTTATTGTTTACTTCTACATGAATCAGTAGGTAGGAATTGTGTCAATCAAAACTGTGTAGAAATGAATCAGTCAACAAGATATCGTCTAACTAAATTAATTATTCACAGTCAATAGTGTGATAAAATTAATTGAATAAAAAAAGAAATACACGCATATATCTTTATTAGGAATATGAATCACATTTTTAAAAATTTTTTCCTTAGACTATTGTTTTGGTAACTTGTTGCTTAAAATACAAAGTTCAATGTGTTTTCTAATCTGCCTAATTCATCTTTTCTTCATTGTACTCATACTTTAAAAAAGAAATAATTAGTTTATTTATTTAGTCATTCTACTAATTAAATGCCATTCAAATGTAATGAAATAAGTATTTAAAACTCGATGAGGAATGAATTATTTATCACCTTGCATAGACAGTGTGAATCGCTCATGTTGTAAGCATTTCGGCACCTTCAATCTAACAAAGTTTCCATATGATATCTTAAGCCTCATCATTAGTTCAGTTTTTCAGGAAAGTGGAAAAGTGAGTTCCCCTCATTATGAAATTTTAATGATTGACAGGTTCATAATGGTTACAGAAGAAAACTGAGCTGTAGTGTTTCGTCCTAGCTTACTTGAAAAGTTGGTGGTAATGCACTCTTTCATGAAGTAAGTCTAACAGGAAAGCTTTTTGAAAGCAAGAACAAATATTGTGGATGAATCAGATTCATTTCATGTTCTGTAAAACATCCACACACGCACTTAATTTAACGTTTTCTACAGCCAGCTATGTGTTTAGCATAAGTAACGGATTCCTGTTACATTTCTTAAAAAGTGTCTACATGACGACACCTTTCTCTGCGAATATTATAATCAACCACGTCAGCAGGAACTACCACCTTCTTGCAGGAACTTACGTCGCCTAACCGGATCCTATATACAGACTAGGGATGATACATAACAAATCAACCGTGGATTCGTTAAACTTATTTCGCCGCATAAAAATTTTTCAACTTTCGTCGCAGTATGAAGTATAGTACTCATTCACAAAAAGAGACTGAATTATGCAAATCTTTACTTTGAGAACCGATTGAAGAATGTTTTCCGAAATGCTCAGAAAAATATGTTACTAATCTTTCTGATGCTCAGTTGTCTAAATTTGAATAAGAAGCTTTGTCTTTAGGCTTTAAATATCATGTTCCTTATAATGAATTAAAGCGAATTGATCTCGAATGTCAGTTTGAAAATTTGCGTAACCAACTGTCGACTTTGAAGCCCACATCAAATGGTAAAGAAAGCTGGTTGAAAGCCACATTTGTTGACTTAACTAATCAGTATGCCATCAGCCTGAAATTCCATAAGAACTCTTTACCCAAAAGCATCACCAAGCCATTAGTGAACTGACAACCAATGAACGAATCGTCCTACTGAGACCTGATAAAGACTCTGGTGTGGTTGCACCAAACAAGCAAGACTATCTTTCAAAAATGCCCAGCCTATTAGGCGACAAAAAACACTTTTCTCAGGAAAAGAGTAATAAAGACATGACTTCAAAGACTGAAAAGAAGATAAATCAAGCCCTCAAACAGTTGCTAAAACAGAAACTAGTCGATGAACAGCTCTGTGGGACGCTGAGACCCCGAGGTAAACGTTTAATAAAGATGTATGGTCTTCCCAAGATACGTAAAGCAGGAATACCTCTACTTCCTGTATTGACAATGTCGCACTCTCCATACCACGAACTTGCTCGATGGCTTTTACAATTAATCAACCTTATCAGGAAAGAGCCAGCTGTTCATACTTTGAAGGACAATTTTGAGTTTGTTAGTAGGTTTGGTAATATTAATATAAGCGAAGATCATATGGTTTCTTTCGGTTTTATTCACCAATGTACCCCTTGAAGAAACAAGTGATATCATATATAGTCATGCTGACATGATAGACTTTCCATCTAACAGAGTGAAAGATCTACTGGTGTTAAAAATGTTCAATTCCAGTTCAGTGACCCCTTTTACAGACAGACAGAAGGCGTGGCTGTGGGCAGTTTCCCTGGTCCCATATCCGCAGACACATTTCTAGGCCACTTAGAAAATACCAAACTAAGTGATACCATAAAAAAGACAAAACTGTACTTCAGGTATATAGATTATACTTTCATCATATGAGAGAGTGAACTCTATGCAATGAACCTACTCAGATCTTTCAATTCAGTTCATTTAGACGTGAAATTCACATGTGAACATGAAACGTTAGACGGAATAAATTTCTTGGATACGAGTATCATAAGAAATGAAGATGGTTCTATACAACAAAAAGTTTATCGTAAGCCTACTTGGACCGGTCAATTCTTGCCATTTAATAGTTTCTGTTCAATCGCTTATAAAAGAAGTTTAGTCAAGACTTTATTTTTAAGGGCTACCAGACTATGCTCCAAGTAACTCATCGATAATGAACTGGATGCCGTACAAAAAACTTCGATAGATAATGGATATCCCATAAAGTTGATTAATCAACACTTCAAACTTAAAAATGAGAAACTGAATGATACCACCGTGCCAAAAAAGAACGTGTTCATCAGAGTACCATGTGTTTAGATCGTGAACTTTGTCATTCATCTATGTTCCCATACATATGTATTGATGTTCAGGTTTAAAAGATGTATTGAGTGTTATCTACTACTGAAATGTATCAAATGACATGATAAACACTGATAGCTTGTTGTGGAAAACTTTAAATTTAGTGCATATGTGGAAGATTTGGAGAACACGAAATGAATCCGATTAATCCACAATATTTGTTGTTCTTGCTTTTCAAAAAGTTATAAAGGTAAAACTTCCGTTCTCTCAACTGATTAGTGTGAACACATGTTAAAAATAACTTGAGTATGGGAGGATACTTTTGGAGATAAACAACCTGTATTATGAAATGTAATACTGTGTAGAGAAACGTTTCAGCTCCTGAAGTGTCACACTTTGAGGACTGAATGATTTCAAATTGCTTTTTCAATCACATTGCACCACACAATGCATAGTACATGTTTCACATTTAATTTCAAATTCAGAATGAAAAGAAGTTTTTTATAGTGTGGATTTCGCTGTCAATTGCATGACGATAATATTTGTTAGCGTTGATTGGTCTGAGAAATACAATAGTCAGTCAAGAATTTATTTATTTTCAAGTGAGCAGTGAAAAGATAAAGCAACCTGATAGTTCATTTAGAAAAAAATTGCACTTATACGTCAAACAAATACAATATATACAATACAATATAATATAATAATAATATAATGCACATAATAATAACATAACAATAATATATAATACAGTATAAAAATCCATTATCATTGAATGAACTGAAAATCAGCTGCTATACAGTCATAGTTCACAGCCCAGTCAAGATAGCACAAAAACTGCCACACTAGATTGTACCATAAAAACTTTAAGTATGGCTTTTTTAAGTGTATGGGGAGAAATTAAAAAGAATTTTTCGAATATCGTTTTGAAATGCCACAAAGTTACTCCATACTAAGCAGGAAAAATCAAGTTTTATTTTAAGATGCAAATGTTTTGTAACATACGTAGACGCCCCAGTAGCTTAGTGGATAACGCTCTTGGGTTTGATATGATGGGTATTGGGTTCGAGCCTGAGTGCGAACAGTATCATTCACTAAGGTGCAGCCATATCCAACTGAAGAGCCTGAGATGGGATGAAATAAAAGCCCTAAATTCCACTGATACCACCACTAAGAAGAATACAACACAATCAATAGTTAGGCAATATCTAGGCATCTGTACAGAAGCTTATATCGCCTACAGAGGTAGATCATTTCGATCCAGGATAACAACGGAAATCGTATCCATCAGTAAGTAACACACAGGTAAGTTATTGATATTTTTCCTTTGTTTACGAATGTTCAAATAAGTCTGAAATGTTTTGGGATTAATAATCACCTTCACTCATGTAAACTCTAATCAACGATTAAAGTAAGCAAAAATGTTTAATCAAATGATAAGGTTCACTGTCAAGGTCAATGCAGATGTAACTAACTTCATAATTCCAAGATGGAAAAATGGATTTTGACAAGTAAGGTCATAAGTGTAACAAATAATTTTTATCCACTGGAATACTACATGAATTATTAGTCTTTTATATATATTACAAAAAGGTTTACACGTGTCGGATAAGAAGAGTTAGTCCTTAGGTTTATGATCCTCACGGATTCACCAAAAACAAAACTGTTTTCCACTTCAGATTAAGGTATGTAAAATAAATAAGAAGAATCAAAGCAGTATGAGCTGCTTGCCTACAGTTTTGAACCTAAATGTTTACTGGACCGAATTGATCGGCCTCTATTAGCGTATGGGCTCCTGTGCAGATGCCTCGATATTGCCAGCAGTCTGATTATTTTAAGGATGACACAAGAAGTGGCTATCGTGGCTCAGTGGGGTAGTGGAGCGATCGCTCCCGAGTCCAAATCCCGGTGGGAACAACATCACTCACTGGAAAGTAGGTACATCCAGCTGACGAGTCACAAATAGGACGAAATGCGCATCCTGGATTCCACTGCTAGCCACCATACATTCCTAAGTGCTTACATTCCGCTATTTCCCTACACTTAAACTCAGCTACTTTACAACTCTTGTGTAAATCTTGATGAATGAAGCTGAGCTATTCCGACGTTATTCTTCTATGATAAAGTATTTGATGATTTATTTACAGTGCGAAAAGGTTTACAAATATGCTATATATATATATATATATATATATATATATATATATATATATCAGCAGACGCTTCTGAAGGAAAAATAATACGATTACAGTTAATAGAGACCGCAGTAGTCAGTTGCCAATGTCAAATTCACTTTATCGACAACAGTTTTGTCATACCCATAAGCCAATTAAAAGATAATCTTAATGCAGTACTAAAAAATAACTAAGTTACAGAATAAGAATGACATGGGAAGAATGCATTTATAAACACTGAGTTTTTAGAATGCAGGATGCAACCTCATGAACTCTAGGGTCAGTAAAGGCGATATACGTGTGTTAAATATTTGGCCTACAGTGGTAGTAGTCAGGCATCTCAGAATGTAGAAGCCTTAGTAAGAACTATTTTGTATACAGAAAAGTACTGAAATACTTAGAAACTACTTTCGAGACTAATAATTATGCACACGACTTCATGAAAAAGTGCTTGCCAAAGAAACAGAAATCAGGATCATTATTTCAGAACGTTAGATAATCACTTCACGTTCCATTGAAGCTGTCCCAAAATTTATCGAATGACCACTTAATCTATCCGACATCTGTGCCGTCACAGAACTCATAAGCTATTTAGAGCCAGACGGGTACAGTGTAAGAGCCTTAGTTTAAAGAATGACGTGGCCAATATGCTTGCCCTTAAGGACCTCTCGAATTCAAGAAGACATAAGAATATCATTTGACAGCCAGAGAGCATTATCTAACTACATTTTTCTCTGCACACCCGAAAACGTACAGTTACGAATGAGGATACAATAACACCGAAAACTACGACGTATAAATACAAACGGTTTAACAGAATTCACTGAAGCACTGAGTTACAATGAGACAGCCATCAGTGGGCTTTTAGACGTAGATTTCTAGGGATAAATCAATGAGCAGTAAAAGGCTTAGTAAACGATTTAGTTATAAAAGATCAGCTGAGTAGCAGAAACCTTTAATCCACAACAGAAAGATTTCTTCTCTTTCACCGACCCGATAGAAAGTGAGGTTATACGGGTCAAAATGCTATACAAAAATTACTCTCACCCTTAATCTAGAAGTCTTGGAGTCAGTAAAATTTGCACAATGATATTCACTTCTCTAGGCACTGCTTACTCAGTTAACTACCTGACTTACGAAATACGTATATTTTATATCAGGTTTCTGTGAACGAAAAATAACTGTCATGCATATTCTGAAACACAAACATTTTATGGATACAAATGTGTTCTAGGAATATTTTGTTTCAATTATTGGCTCTCATAAACGAGCATTAGGACAGTTGTGGAAACGTGAATAATGAATCATCGCTTCATTGACTGACTGAATAACGCCTTTGTAAGCGCTGGCTAATGAAAAGATTAGGCCAAGCCAAATGGCTTTGCCTTTATTACCTTTGACGGAGTGACGAATTTGTGGACTACTATGAATAAAGTATATGAGGTTAGTTAACGCGACTCACGATAGTTTATTTGACTACGTGTCGCATTTTTTCTATGTGAACTGATGACTATACTTTCTTACGTCCACAGAATCAGAACAAACGGGTTTCATCGCGTTGACTAGTAGGCAGACAGTAAATAAACGATGACCATTTATTACTTGTGAACTATATTTTGCGTAATTCAAGCCTAAGTTATAAAGTGTCATTTAAAATCTAGCTTCATTGTAAACGCTTGTTTATTCCGATAACAGCCGTTGTTTTGCGTTATGTACATACAACAATACTTCCAAGATCTGTAAATACACGTGGATGCACTCTGTGTTAGTTTAGGAATATAGGTATTGGTGTAAATAAATGGCTTCATTCTTGATGATGAATATAGTTATGAGAGCATAGCAGTGGACATAAAGACTGAGTAATAAAAAAGTCAATGGAGGTATGTGATCATTCACATATATTTATCAGTTGTGATCGGTAAGAAAACCTCTCTAGACAGTTCTAATCATGGATTACACAGTTACACATCCAGTGAAAACCACAACGCACCGAAAAATTGCTTTCGTGAATACTTCTCTAAGATGAGCTGTGTGAGATGACTCAGGTTTATGAGTGAAGGTCCCATGAGCTATACGTAGATTGGTTGTGGTGTCGAACTCACATTAATATCGTAATTTACTAAATGTTTTGCTTAGGCATAGTAGAAGTCAGTTCCACTTCACTTAACAATTTGGTAAGATTTCTTTCAGAAACACATTTAAACTGATGTATATCAAACTGTTGTGTCACTTCAATTGGTGAAAAAAATTCAGAGAAGTCCGAAAAACTCATTTGGTTAGTGTGAGTGGACAATGAATCATTAGTTACATCTCAACAGTCAAATTAATTGTTTCTTTTAAACTAAGCAAAACATGAGTAAACCGGAACTTACGTGTACAGAATCTCAAGGGATTGGGAAACATTTTTCCTTTGACTCATGTAGTTTTCGAATGGTGGTATAGGTTCTTGATTCACATTAACTGAAATATTTGAACTTCTTATTCCATAGGCTATACACTGAATCAGTGTATATGTGATGTCAGCATTTCGACCAATATCTGCATCATGTGCAGAAATTTTTCCAATAGCTAAAGCTAAATAATTTTCAAATGAAATATTGACATTTAGAACTATATGTTTATGGTGAAAGAGGTCAGTATGTAGAATCAGATAAAAGAAAGCCGAGAACTCGTTCGGAAAAGTCAAAAGTGGATAGTTTTTCTTTCAAGTACATACCACCAACTAGCATCTAATAATAAAAAAGTATCTATTTCGAATATCATCAGTTTGCAGAATCTAATTTTATTATGTACAATCTTTGATAGAGAACCAATTCTTCTGATTACGAGGTGATATCAGTACCCAGGTGACATCATTTGGAAGACTATTTAGAACCTAGGAGCACTTATGCGCTATCTTGTCCTATTATGGTACTACCCAATAGAACAAATAGTTGACCACTCTACGGATGTAACCCATAACCTTCAGGCTCCACAGCAAGCACATTGTCATTTGGCAAATAGATCGAAATCCAACGGTACACGTTTCTTACTTCTGTCACTTCACGATATTGCGTGACCTTCATCAAATGACGTCACTGAGCACCTGTCTTCACATTCGAACTGGTTTGTCTCACCGGTCACGACTTTTGATTTGAACTTCAGTAAATTTCCTCTCGAAGTGAGTCATTATTCGGCACTGGATATTAATTCACTTAGAGGTTTGTGGGGATTTCATAGTATTGGTTCCAAGGTGGTATTCATCCCGAATTATGTTTAATGCTTTCAACCACTAGTAAAATGTATTTTCTGTTAGAAGGACATGATCAGTTACTTTAGTTATGAAAATGCTCAATTATTTCATGAAACGCCATCAGAAATGAGGAATATGTTACACAGGATTCACTATTTTTTCGTATGGACTTGTTTCATTACTACAGGCTATCAGGTGTAATTGCGATCACAAACACCATGTGTATTTTTGTCGTCGTGACTGCAGAAACACTTTTCTTGTAGGTGAGGTTGGGGAGTTACTCTATACAACAGCCTGTTAAATATGTCACCCAACTGAATTTATTTATTTAACTTCAGACTGCCTGAATAGCTCTCTGTGTATGTATTAGTTTATGAGCTCCTATGGACCTATTTGAATCAGCCCAATAACTTGCAATCCAGTTGTTTGTCTAAATATTATTCTCCCTTGATTTCTAAAAAGGTATACTTTGCGATAAATTACTCTAGACTTGAGCACCTCGTTAGTTTCGGCTACTCGACCACAATACAAACCACTTCAAATTCATCTACAAAGTGGGACAAAGACTAATAATAGGAGAATGAACTTGCAGCTCAGGCCATATATAAAGGTCGCTTGTTTGAATCTCTTCATGACTAATATTTTCACCTCTTTTTTATAACATCATATGGCATCATAAACTTGAACCAGACATATCAAAACTGTCACAGATAGTCTCAAACATTAAAAGAATTTAATTACTTTTTAATTTTTGCCTAGTTTAACTTTATCGAAACCTCTTTAATTTTTCAATAATTTTTCAGCCTTCTTAACTTCTCATTTATTGCTTATTGCTCATTTGTTGAATTACATTTCCGAGTAAGTAATCCTTTCAATTTACTTTATCACTTGGAATATCTTTTTGGGGAAATGTTTTCTGTGTGAAATTCCAAGTCATTTGTTTCTTCTGTTACCTTGTGGATTATTACACCAGGTTGATCTATTTTTAGAAATAGTTAATTACTCCACAAACGGAAAATTTCTAATTACTTTGTGAATTTCTATCAGTTGATAACTGACTTTCTTTTGTGTTTATTATAAACAGCACTGTAAATCATTGGTAATTGATTTAACTGAAGGAAATTTCTACCCTTAACAACCTTTGGTTAGTTTTCATTGTGAGACATCTTTTGTAGAATTAGTTATTCAATGTCAACATCAGATCTAGTATTACTGTGTATAGCTATTATTTGCTCACCCAGTATCTGAATATTAATTTAGAAGGCACCAAGAAGAAAGATGAAGAAATAAAGAAATCATTCAACTAGTAAAAAGTCAAGGAAAACAGTCATAAAAGTTGGTATACTGATTAAGATAAATATAACATTCATATGCATCTGTTCCACTAAGACAGGTCCTTATCCATACCATTAGCGTCTTTAACCACTGATTTAAGTCATCAAATGAACTCTGATTCAGAAGTCTACATTTTCGTACAAGACTCAAATCAACAGTCAAAGACTTCGTGAACTGATACCGTGTTTAAGTCTGATCACCTGTGAGCTCGTTCAACATAAGCCTAATTCAGTTAACAATGTGCAATGGGAAGGACGATGAATAAGCACTCATAGCACATCTGTCAACAACTACAGTCAATGAAGCTTTACAACTTCATAAGTCAACTTACCTCTGATATCCAAAACTACGCCAAACTTTGACCTTTCTAATGTGGTGGTCCCTGGATTAATGGCCTATCTCAAAAGGGCAGCACTAATTGAACACTTTCACCCTTTCATACCATTAACCTTCACTGCTTATGTTTCACAGCCTTGCTGTGGAAAAGAGTGAACTGTTATAGAGTACACTTGATTCTTACTAGGCAGTCACATATTATGGTGGCGCCCTAAATAGCGGCAGTTCGAGAAGTTTAAATAGGCCTTTTTGTGTCCATGCTGAAAGTTTGTCGACACCAGACCTACAAGTACTGAGCTCATCAGTTAACACACTCAACCACTTCACGCCTTACTGTTAGACGAGGCACTTTTAAAAACCAATACTATAGCAACACTTCGTACTTGGATGACGATTAACTTTTCCAAAACATTCAGAGATTGCCACTCTATGTGTTCAGAAGACTCGTGATCCTATCAGTAGCTTCAACTAGCATAAGTATGTTATCTACTTAGTCTGGGTCTATTGAGAAGTCTCTCGTGAGAAGGCTAATTCCGGTAAAGTCAGACGAAGAGAGAGAGACCTGTATGATCATATTTGTAGTCAAACAGAATAAGGACGATGAGAGTGAGCTTCCTTGATGAAAATCACTTGACGTACACATTCACCCCTTGATGCCTCACAAGACGTCTTAACATGTCGTCGTATGTTCAAAACCGTATCTTTTTCAAAAAGGGCATTCACTCCTCCGGCCTCCTTTGCAGTAATAGACACTACCAAAGTTTCCTTGATTGATAGAATCAAACGTCATCTCCAGGTAGAACAAACACAGTACTCTGGGTGCTGGTAAGCCTGCCTATGTTAACAAACCTGAATCGGGGTGAATATCTGGTTGATATATTCATGGCTGGCTCTTAAAAATGGTAGGTATTCTCGAAAGTATGGTTCCTAGACTTCACTTAGGCGTCTAACTATTGTACAACCTAGGGCCTCCTAAACTGTATTCATCAGACTGATTCCCCCTGTGGTTATAACAGGTGAATTTATCTCTCTTTATGAAGACTGAAATAGTCAGTGATCGAGACCAGCCTAATGGGATCATATTTGATTTCAATACCATAGATGAGACCTCGGTTGACCTAATCAGTGCACCATTTTTACACTTTGTTAGTTTTGCATTTGTCTTCTGTGAATCTGTTTCCCCCATCTAGGTATGTTAATGACAGTTTTGCAGGTTATTATTTGTGTTGAAATCTTCTGAACCTAATAAACAATGTTTTTTCTATTGAATTTCTATGTGTATATATCATGCTGTTTTGACTTGCTCAGGAATTCTAAACTGTTAGATGGGATTACTTAGGAAACAGCACTTACAGTGAAGCTATATTTCTTTTCTATCAGCTTCTCAGTGATGGCTCTACATCTATGTATTGTATTTCAGTAAATACTACAATGAAAAAAATTATTGCTCATAATCATATCAGTAATTAAGAGTAATAATTTATGCTCGGAAGGTCATCAAGTAAATAATACTGTATCACCATATTGTAAATCAAATAAACAAATCTAAAATGGAATTAAATTCTATCACAGTACCCAAGTTTTATACCTATATTAATAATGCAGGTAAACTGTGCATGTTTAAACAAGTTTTTATTGAAATAATGTTTTGCATAATAGTATTTGATACAGGAAATAGATGATTGTCTCGAGTGGTTAGTTATCTACAATAACTATGCAATGATGATGAAAAAGCAAAGAAAGAAAAACCCGGACCTAAATTTTATTAATAACAACAGTTACGCAGATCCCAAAGCTCAGAAAATTACGGCCAGAAACTTCTCTTAATATACAGGTTCGAAACATTAAGGTAATCATGACAGCTACTGCTACATGTAAAAGAAGGACTGATGAAGTATTGATAAATTTAGATAGACTGTAAAATGTAACTTTGAAATCACTATTAATGTCAGCTCCAAGTTCAATATCGGCAATATTTGAGAGGATAAACCTCTGTACTGATCTCATCTACTCTTTGCTTACATGTGAAGTATGTATAGAAATTTAGCGATAAACTGAATAATTCTGCATCCGACCGAAATAGTTTAAGTGTTAAATGCACATGAAAGATACTTAATCAAGTAGTTTTTCTGATGTATGAAGTAAGTCCCAGCTGATCGCAGAAAACTTGGAAAAACTTCAATAAATGTTCTTCGTGAACACAGCATGCTAATCTAACCAGTGGCATTAAGTTAAAACTTATGCTTCAAAAAGGATTATTTCCTAGGTTTCGATGGTACTCTAAGTTTAGTTTTTGCTCGACACATAATGGGCTGCTCATTAAAGACATAATCTGAAAATTTTATTCCATTCACACTGCGTGAGTTTTGAACTCAGAGTCGAGCTTATTTATCAGCTAATCCAACATTTCCTGTCACTTAAGCATACAAGAAAGCTACACTATAGTGACGTAATACCTTCTTTTTCATAGCAGTTGCTTAGTGGATTCCATTAAACCCGTTCATTATACTACTTGTGCCATTCTGGTTCTTCAGCAGTAGTAGATTTTAACCAACATTTTATCTAAATTCACTCGTTGAAAATTCTTTAGGATCATATCCGATAGTAATCCAATACCAGCATCATCCGACTGTCTGTCGAACTCCTTGTTGGAAATAAGGTTCACACATTCATTGCATGTTTTCAAGGAAGCTCTTCAATAGCAGAAAAGAGGTCTGTATTTCTGCGGTTTACTTCGCCAACTCAGTACATTAATGAAGATCAGTGACACGCCTTCGGATATAATCAACTTATCATCCACAACAAAGACTCAGAATCATCTCAAACAATTTGGTTTTCAGCTTCCTGGTGTAACAGTTCGAATGGCTTTACTAGCTGACCACAAGTCGCTAAATATCGAAGGCTGGAAACGTTGAGAATTAACCATAATGGTAACCCGTTTTCATTTATTGTCTGTAAGACACACGATTCTGGTCTTTTTACATCAGTAGTTCTGAGATGAAATGAAACAATTTTGTTTTAACCTAATGAATGAATTCATAAGTTGGCACTCAACCTTTTCCGCTGTGTTGGTATCAGTCAATAGCTTGTGAAATTCATTCTGGTAACAGTGCATGGTATTCATTACATCCAAGTAGTCCATTTTTTCCATACTGATTTTTCTTGAAATCTGTTGATATTATGTAAGGCTTTACTTTGCCTTTTTTGATGGAGATGCTGTTGGTATTTTTCTTAGTATCCACATATTTATGGTAACAGTCAACCGAAGTAAACCTCAATTTTTACACCTGATTACTAGATGGAAAAGAAAAATAAGTTATTAGAGACCTTCAGACTACAATCATGTATTAATTTAGGCTTCAGAATACTTGTCACAAGATTTGTGGACCAGCATAGGACGGTAGTAAATTCATTAAGGACGTTAAGAAGATATCAAACAGGATTCAGAAGACATCTCAACTTTCAAGTCTCTCTTGACACACTTGAAAAATCCAAGTTCTTTTATTTTCTTTTGTTGACAGTTTGATTTGTTTCAGTCCTCCAGAAAATTTTCAACGTTGTTTATCAATTCAGTGACACAAGTTTCAGGTAAGTTAACCTATTTCACTGCATATTGTTTGAGTATATTTCCATTCTTTTATCTTATTCTGTTACAAAATGATGACTTCCAATTAATTTTGTGACAGCAGGATATTCCAACACATCTAGAAATAAAAACTCGTAAAAGTCCTTAATTCCGGTATTCATTAGGGATTTCAGCTGTCTGAATTCTATAATTCAATTGAATAGCTTTCTGGTCATTTCTCTAGCATGTTTTTCATTTTGATTCATTAAACAGAGTTTCATTGATTGATCCTTCCCTCTACGCAGTTTTGTTAATTTTTAAGGACTATCACTTTGTTCCAACTGAATACTTAATTATGTCCATTTGTAAGCATTTCTGTGGATTTCTAGTTCTCCCAATATATATCACTTTAGATTGGAAGAAGATTTTGTGCTGTATACGTCTAATTACCTTAGACTATGTATTCGACTTCACAATGTTTGCATGTAATTCACAGGAGTCTTAGTTGTATGCCAATATCAGTGAGTGTGACATTTACTACGTAAAATAATTGTTTCGATTGGCGCATTGTATTCATCATTATTTTATTCAGCCATCTGATACAGCCCTAGTTAGTAGACTGGTATCTGAAGATTTCTGTAAGATATTCAAGTTAGAAAAAATTTTTTCTAACAGTTCCATCCTCACGCCATACAATTATGAATATAATTATAAATAAAGGGATATTACTATGCAAAATTAAATTTTAGATATGGCTTAAAAAGTCCGTCTTATGCGTTGATTTAGTTGGATGCAAGTGCACCACTGACCACTTTCTTTTCCACTGACGTCTCAATGCATACAAAATGAAAAGTCAACTGGTGTATGGAACTTCATAATGTGTGTACACGGTGGAGTGTTTATAAATTTTATAATACAAATTAAAACTGAAAAACAGTCATCTGGGGGATGAGAAATCTTGTTAATACCATTAAAAATCTAGATGATCCTCATGTGAGTGCTATGAGATGACCGGACGTAACGACGAGAATGATAACAGCAAGATGTCTGTGGTAACCTAATAGTTCTTAAATAAATATATGGTACAATATGGTATAATATGAATGGTTTGTAGAAAAAAGGATCTAAGGTAGGGGAAACAGCAGTAGTGGGTGGTTATAATCAGAATAAAAGACGTTCAGATTCGTTTTCCTATATTTATGGTTCAATAGAACACTTGAAGAAGCATTTTTTCATGTTAACTACTATGAGTTATGACGCAAATGCGGAAAGCTGCCTGCGTCTCGACATTCTGTCAAGATCTGGTACATAACGACGAAATCCTGATCGATTTTGAAGTAAAGCTCAGCGTTCACCGAATGAGACAATGTGCCACTATCAGTAAACTTAGTCCACTTATTGTAAAGCCACTTGAATAACTCAATAGTGACACTATTAATTGTAGTGCTACGTGACACGAGTTTGAAAGCCTCAAGGCTACATTTCACCTATTGTTTAAATGTTTCATGAGGTGTAATCCTTACCTGACGTTTCACTTCAGCTTCAAATTCCAGACGGATCTTCAGACCCGTGGATATTCCAATATGAACTTGGTGGTCCGACCACCTGGCTAAGCAGAAAACATCCAACCAGCACATCCACATGAGGAGGAGCGCCCCTTCAAACACATTCTGTCGACACCTCCTCAGACCGTTAAGCATTGTCATAGAACCTTCACACGAGTCAGGCTTCACGGTAACCACATTTGCTGGGTAATCGGTGAGTTAACCTACTAACTCATCCATGATCAGACGAATGAGATGCGTCTCACTGAAGTTCCTACAACCTTGAAGACCTAGGTGCAGCTAGCTTTTCTGAAAAACCATACCTGTGGAATACCTGACCTGTTAGCTCAAAATGTTGACGCATTTAAAGTGGAAGTTTTCTTCAGGCTACTGATTCACGGCCAAGGCTAGGGTTAACGAAACCGGCATTTTAAACCGGAAACCGTCTTTCTTCACAAGGTAAGACTATGCCTGACTGTAGGGATTACCTCGCCAGCTGTGACTACGGGGATTAGGAAGCTAGATTAACCTGATCTTCCACATGCTTTGGTCATGGCACACTGTTCGGAATCCTGAAGGCCAACAAAACCAACAGTGCTTTGCAGACCCATTGAATTATACAAGGATCGTTAGAGCTCCTATAACCTTCAATGTGTTTGTTTCACTTAATAATGTTAACTTCAGCTCTCGAAAACTTACAATTACTTACATGCTGTGTGATTCTCCAGTACATAAAATTCGATTTTATCCATAACACTTGGTGGATTATCATTGACATCTTGAACTGTGATAGTAACATCTGAACTGGCATTTAAACTTGGTAGCCCGCTGTCTGTAGCATGAACTAGAAATCGTAATTCATTTAGCACTTCTCTGTCGACTGACTTTTGGACGGTCAAGTGACCAGTAATTTTATTCACTTCAAAGTAATCTGAATTTGGTCCGCTTAACCAAAATGTAAGTTTTGCATTTTCACCTGGAGTGTAGAAAAAATAAGACGAGTTCAGTTGTATTTTTTACAAAATTAATAAAATGAAGTGGATTAACACAAGAAATTCCGACACTCTAAAGTGAAATAATCTTGCAGGTTTTCAACAGTTATACTAAGAAGAGAATGACTTGAAACATCAGAGATAGACCAGCTGTAACCAGTCATTTGTTGAGAAACATGTTATCAATGACCAGTCATCATTTTGCCAAATACCCAAGAAATATACCACTACTTTTATATTTGGTGTTACAGACTGCAGTGTTATAGCATTGATTAAACCAAATTATTTAGCTACTATCTTTCAAAGATTTCCTATGCATATTTTTCGACACTGTTAAGAATTTCACTCTGATAGTAAAGATAGCTGGAATCTAGCAGTTGAAACAAAAGTGCACACCTAATCCTGTTTGAAAATCTAGGAAAATTCATGCAGCTGATGAGTCCCGAATAGGTAAAAACTTACATTCTGGATTCACCTGCTAGCCATTATCCTTCATTACTGTAACTGACGTTTATAATACTAGTTTTTCAGAGCAAGGTTTCGAACGTTTGAAGGGGATGTAGGCAGATTTCAGTTATAAATAGAGAATTTGTGTTATTCCTCATAAATTGGAACACTTAAGTCTGGAAATTAAGTGCAATTGATACATTCCAATTTCTATATAAGTTGAAATAGAGTACAGTTTCACTGCTCTCATCTCACTACTTCAAGAAGTAAAATAAGTAGTGTGGTTTGGAAGAATTATGTTGCATATGCATGTATTCCTGCACTATTTAGCTGAAATACTTGAGAGAAGCCAAATAAGTTGACGATCTACATTCAACTTTTTCCAGCAGTTGATCATCGTTCATCACTAGTTCATAATTATATGAATTCTGGATAGTTGTTTCTAAGCTTCGACTGAATGATATCTAAATAAAAACTGAGCAGACCTTAAATGAAATGACAGTATCATAAAAGTCTTATGATAAAAAGCAACGGAAAAATTGTTTCTGCAAAAACATTGACATATAACCTTTAAATACAAAATCTGACAGAAATGGTAGTTGATAACAATCAAATGCAAGTTCACGTACTATCAAGTAACGTGAAGTTGCTGTCAGCTGACAATAAACCTAGCAAGCTGCGTCCGGATTAGGCTGGTGTAAAATCCAAGAGATATTATCATCAAAGTTATATGAAACATTTGATATGTCAGACTTTTACGTTTCGAACCATCTGGTCATGCATGGACTTGCCAAGTTATTTATACGAAAAGTCACAAAAATGGTAAGCTAAATGGATAGAAAGCATACGAATAGGAATGGTAGGAGAAAGAAAAAAGTCTAAATCACATCTCCCTTGGTATGAAAATAAAATCAGTAATTTCTGTGTTGGTTCAAGACGAGTAATAATAATTTCACGGATGGGTAAATCCTAGGTAAATTTAAGCATTCGTCCCTGACTACTTTCATCCATTGCCTATCTTGTGACTAGTTTCCAATATAAATTTGACAACAAATGAATATGGATATGTACTGCATATGCTTATCTGACCAGTAGTAGTCATTCGTCTTTGAAGTAAACGTCCAATCATCCTAAACTGCATATCATGGTTATTCCACCCTTTGAGAATAAATAAAGCTTTGATCGAAGGCAAAACGTAATTACGGAAGACAAGATGACAAAATCTGAAATGATTGCCCATATTAACATTAGACAGGAGTTCAAGAAGCTAAATTCTATTGAGAATGTAACTAAGCAATAATAAGAGTTTTAACAGCCATTTCTACAGATTATTCCGATTTCAAAAAACTGGTGAAAACCACGTTTGTAGTTTAGAGAATAAAATTACCTCAATCTGGTAATATCCATACACTTATAATAGCTAAGTGTGCATGTTTCGAAAGTAAAGGTTCCCTTATATTTATCACTGAGAAATTATTCAACGGATTACAACTAAAATAAAACTCTCTTGTGATATGAAGTCTCTTAATTTAGGTCGGTAGTCATCATGGACTGAAATCAACTGGAGAAACATTGGGAACCTGATAGTACTGGACAGCTGTTTCACCCCAGTATGAAGCTCATCATCAGCACTCATTCATGATACTGTAAGGAGATGAACCCAGGACTTTAAGGTTCCTTGGTCAGCACATTAACATTGAGCGACTGCGTTAGATTCCATTGGTCCGTATTTTCTGCTTCTGTCAGTTCGTGATATAGCCCAACCTCCATTCAGTTCTGTTTTTGAGTATCTGGCCTCATATCCGACTTAATCTAGTCAACACTTTTCGTAGTGAGCAAAAAAACTCAGCATTAGACTAGTCAGACCTTTAATCAGTTGGCTAATTAGAATTCGGACAGTTTCAACTATTCGGATCTCCCAGCTAAATCAGTCTTAGTATTCAGATGATGATCTCAGCCATAAACGCATGAAACACCCGTCTGCTATTCAAATCACCTTGGTCTGTATAGGAAACATTACTTATAGGTAAGCGGTTCACAACTACTCAATTTAGTCTGTAGTACATTCCATGCAGCTTTCAACCTCCAATCTTGACGGCAACTGTGTTGGTTAGGAGATCACATAACATAACCCGAATATATTAACTTCAATAGGAAACTATAGTAATGTTTCTAATTAAAAACTATGCATTTTCAAACACCCGATTTGATTCTAGTTGTTTTTCATTACATTAAAACTTCCTCTCTGGGTTCAGTTTTGTAGCCAAGGTCAATGTACTAAACCTTATCCTGTAGTGATTTACTTGACAATTTTGCTCATAGTTTGCCCTTTTGTTTACACTTTGGGCATTTCATCCTTAACTCTTCATCATGCAATATATTTTGTGTGACATTTTAGACAAATGCATTGGACGATTTAGACAAATTATGTGTTTTGATTATTTTATTGAAATTTACAAAAGGGACTGAACATTTAAAAACAGCACAATTTCATCAAAAACTCCTAACTATTCATCTGGTTTAGCATTATTTGTATGCGTTTAGCAGCAACAACAGTCTTAGAGGTAACTTTGTTGTCCAATGAATCATTCGAAGCAGTTCTAGATGAGTAGGCACTAAATATACGACTACTTGAAGGTAACAATGTCATGAAGTCATAGTATCAGTTATCAGAATACTGTAAGTGTCAAATAAAATGTTTAATAAAAGTGAATTCATGATCATTTGACCGCAAATGTCAAGACTTTTATAAATTCTTTTTTTCTAGTGTACATCTACAGCCTAACAATACACCAAAACACTGTTTTCATATCGGCATGCAGAATTTATCCACAAGACTTCCTTTAAGCTTCATACTTTACTTATGCGTCGACAGCTGTAGAAGTATGCTCCATTTATTCTTTCTAAGCTTGTTCATACAGTTTACGAACAAGTTAGTGAAAAATGACTAAAATCTGTAGAATCCAGTGATTAATAAACATGATGGTACAAGTCGTAGATACTTTATAGATGTGGAGAATAAATAAATGTGATGGAATGTGTCAAAACCCAACTATATGGAGTAAAAATAAAGTCCTAGGGTCACGCTGTAGTCACTCTATGATGCATTATGGATTGCAGCCAATATGTTGACCATTGTAAACAAAGATAAGATCAAATACGAACACTGAAATGGTATCAGGAAAGGTTAGTTTCGCAAACTGAACGAAGTAAATCTACATTGTCCCAAATGATTGTAAGTAGTAATCAAAATCAAAATGCAGCAGTTACCTTCATCAGGATCAGTCGCATTGATCCTACTTATTATAGTCCCAATTTCTGAATTTTCATTCACATTGAAGTAATAGTGTGTTTGACTGAAAACTGGCGATTCATCATTTACATCAGTAATTCTAACAGCCACAGATCCTGTACTACTTCTTGCAGGGCTACCGTAGTCTGAACAAGTAATCCACACGGTCACTTTGGAAATGAATTCGCGATCGAAACTAGAAGCGGTTGTCAATTTGTACCTATTGAAATATAAAGTATCTAGGATATAGACCTTTAATTGTAGAAAGATCTATTAAAGTAAGAGTTATACAATATAGTGATGTAATAAGAATTAGAATCACTGGATGCGATGAATATATGAAGTAATTATTACCATGAAAATAGATCTGACACTAGCCAAATAGCTATTCATAGTTTTGATAGTCTTTTGATGAGTATACAGGATAAGTACGAACATAATTTGTGACTATATGATAGCATTTAACAAATGACGTTTTCATACATGCAAACAAACATGGGAAACCGATTATAAAATGCCGCTTTCGTATCTGCAGTACTTATAATCACGATGGATTATACTTGCATTAACGTGTACTTTTTCAGTTAATCCTGGTTCATGATTTCGTCTTTATGCATTGCTTGGACCGATGCATTTTAAAGGATACCTAAAGAATCACTTATACTCTGTGAGATATAAATGGATTTTGTGTCGATTTTAAATCGAACAACTGATAAATCGATTTCCAAACATAGACGCATAATAGATATTCAGCACTACTCACAAAACCGAAACTTAATGTTTTTCGACCAGCAAACTGGTTAACACTTCCTTCATCCTTTACACCTTCGCCTTCATAAGACACTACATAGTTCAGATACAGGAATAACTATACTAACTAAAGTTAGAACTTCAAGAGACTACAAATGAAAGACGTTGGGGGATGTCTTTAAAATCAAGGATTTTAATTAGTAGGCCGCTGAAGTGTATTCATCCTTGTTAACACAATGAAATGTTAATGGTATATAAGAAACGTTAATTAATCCAATAGATTCAGTTTCCGTCATAAGTAATGTTTAATGGAAACATCGATAAGGATATAATCACAAGGTAGCAGCCGATATGAAATATTTTCCAATGTGGAGGGAAATACTAACAGACCAACTTCGTAAAATTACTGACAAACGAAGCTGTTCAAGAATACTACACTGTTAAAAGTCAGAAATATTCATAGTTTATTTCTTTTCAACTAACTGTTCAATACAACTACATAAATGTACTTAGTTTCAATCAAAACTGTCCTTGGTAGATATAATAACGAGGAATAGCAACTAATAAACAATTCTTTCGGAAAACAGAGTGAACGTTTAAGTGATGTTTTTATATATAAGATTTTTAACTGGAATCATGATAATTGCTTAACAGCTGTTTAGTCCAAGCGGTTGCATGAACTAGCCAGTCAAAGCTAAAAAAAATGAAACTCGTTTCTACTAAAAGATGGAGCCATTTTGAGTCCAATAAAAAGTTTTATGCTGAAGGATACAGTTAACAGTATTCTACTGTGACAGCATGAAATGTAGCTCCAGTTATGAAAACTGATAAAAATGAAAGCATTGTCAACAAACAAAAATTTCGACCAGTAAATAACATAAAATGTAGGATAACTTTTGAACGAAGATCAAGGTTTTTCGTAGGCCATCAAGAATTAAAACAAAAAATAGTGGTATCTTTAGGATATTAGTCGAGAAACCTGAATATCTAGATAAGATTAAGAGACTGTTCTCACAACTTTATCATTCAAGAGATATCTGAATCTGATTACAGTTGACTTTCCACGGTAATGCTGTTATTGAAATTGCTCTATACCAAGATAGGTTTTTACCTGACGTACTTCACGAGTGCTCCAACCCTTGTGGTCATTAACACCTTACAATTGATTGAAGTGAAATTAAGGTTGGGTTAGCAACTGGATTCCGCTGCTCACTTGGTGGAGCATTGGACTGGTAACCTAAGCGCCGTTGGTTCGAGTCCTACCATAGTACATACTTTCCGTTCACCTCCAGTCATCACGCAATATCAGTTTCAGTGATAAAAATTATAACCTCTTCAACAAAGTCTATATTGAACTACTGTAATACTTGACTCAGGAGGTGGGTTAAAGGTTAGATTGTTTGCAAAGTATGCACTATGTTGAGTACGATTATTCTTTTCCAGTTACACTTGACACAGTGAATCATTAGTTATATATCGTTTATAATTTACTCCTGGACATGTTGGAGCTGTCATATGTATTTTAGGTACGAGAGCATCTAGCAAACCATTTGTATTCATGTAAGTATTTCATATTGCATCATCTTGAAACTAATCATATAAGTAGGACTATGAACGTGAAAAGCCAGTTTGCACTTTCTTTTTGATACAGCAGTTGTTTTAGACCATTCATGGAACATCGTATAACACTTGATGAGTATACACTACATTTTTAAGTGTTCTTCGATATTTCAGTTTCCTTTTAAGATTTTATACGCGTTTTCAGTCTTCATTGTGTTTAGGCTAGTCGGACCATCCATAGACAGTTATTTATTCCCTTGAGACATATCGCATGGTAGATAATAGGTAAAAAAAATAATAAACGGAAGCTTTTGTTCATTGACACTGCATAACAGACATCAGGAACAGTCTATCGCTCAGTACTGGATCGCTGTAGCAAGTGATTAGTTCGGAGTCCGTGGTCAGCTGTTGATTTTAGTTGAACATTAGACTACTGACTTGAGACCAAACTGTAAGCCATTGCTCTAACTCGAAATACCACTTTAAATTCTTCGAGAGGAACATAATAACGACAGAGAAAACAAACACTATCAAGAAATACATTTGACAAGTTGGACATTTTAAAGTGTAATTGTGTGGCAATCTAGCTTCTTAGAAGAAAGTCTTTAATTAGAAATAATATGAACTCAATAAGATTTACTCACATTATTGAAAAAGGCATATGCATTTGCTGTAGACTGAAAAGTGTTTCTGTTGGATTCAATAAAAGATTTTCTAATTTTTGTTTATTCTGTGTATCGAAGTGCCACTTCTTTGATTCGGCAAGTCTACAACTCACTCGACCATTATCGCCGCTATCTTTGTCTTGTGCTGTGAATACAGCAACTAAACGACCAGGTTTTTCATTTTCTGGCACAAGTGCATAGTTAGTTAAGTGTGGAGGTTCAAAATGCAATTCAGGTGAGTGATCATTTTCATCCAACACTGTAATTTCAACAATACATGTTGTACTTCTCGGCAGAGTACCTCCATCGCTTGCTTCAACTGTCAATACAATCTATAAAAACGGAAACAGTTTTTTTACCGATAAATGGCATAAGCAGAGTAAAGACAAGCTGAAAAGCAAACAATACACTGTTTATTATCTACTAAAATGCTCGTTTCTACCTAATTTCCAAACAAAACACGTAAAGTGGTTTAAAGTTTTGGTGGATGTTAATAAGATGGCTATATTCTAAACGAGTTTGACGGGTGAATCCTTAACAAAAGAGTGGGTAAAAGTCAATACAACATTTTTTCCTGCGAAACGACTTTCCAGATTTACTGTGCACTCCAGTCAAAAGACTAACTATCTAGTCTAGTCTGTTACTTGAGTCTTTGCGAATATGAGGATCTCCTGAGCATTGAGGTGTGAATTTAACAGATTTAAATATTTTGTGATGCTTCATTCAGTACTATTCAGCATAGTTAGACACTGAGACAATTATACCCACCAAAATCATTTTATTTAATCAAGATAAAACCTTTGATAGACGGAAACTCAGCTTTTGTAGTTCATATATCAGGCGTGTTTTATTCTTGTGTATTTGTATATCTTCGACTAGTAAGCATAGTAAAGTCAGCTGATCGCAAATACCTAAATCAAAGAACTCATAAACAACAGTTGTGTTTCAGACTCTTTATCCCCTCTCAATATTTATCATCGACCCGAAAATAATAATAATAACCTTTCATCCTCATTGAAGTAGATAAATCTTAACACTTTTTTACTCATACCACAAACATTACAAATAGGTTCTGGCGGCCTGCTTGAACCTTGGGGTACCAAAATAATACACCAAACATCAACATCAAACTCTTTCCTTTCAATTTGCTTTGATCATGTACTATTGCAAAGTTTGAAAAATGCTTCCAGATAGCCTTTTCTCGAGTAGTTAACTAAACGAAGAAATGTCAAGTTTTTATTGTGCAGAAATCTGTCATATTTCCACTCTTCAGACGCTTAGCTTGAATGGCAGATTCTTGTATTGGTTGAACGCACAGCCATCACCATATCCTCCATTCTGTATTGGAAGCTACATCAACACTAGGTGACTGTTCAACATTATTGCCTTTAATAGTGCCATTATTAACATCACTCGAATGACGTAATTACTTACTCTGAATCTGAAGATTTAAGTTGGTGGTTTCTGACTACTCACTTTATTCAGTAGTATATCTTGGTAGTTTGCATAGCTTCTTTATTTCATTACGGTGATCACTGTGGCTAACATTGTCAGTGTATATTCAGTTGTCTTAGTCGACCAGATCTCCAACAAGAGGTTAAATGTTAGCTGATTAGAGGCAGCCGGCAGGAAGCTCTTGGCCTAGTTTTCGTGCTTGTTGGCACTCGTAAACGAGGCGTATCTGAAGCCTGAAGGGAGCTGAAGTCCCATCTGAAGTCTGAATCCCACATCACCCAGTGTTGTGGTCAGCGAGATCACTGAGCTAATCCGCTTTTCTACCATAAAAGATTAAGTCTTTACAACCAAGGGACAGATTGCAGGAAAAAATTAGTTCGTCTTATTTCAGAGCCTCCATAAGCTGCATTCAATTTTCATAAAAGTACACTTATTATGTATAAAGAAAGAAAACATCCTTCACGTGCACTATCATACTAGTTTCACTTCTGAACCAAAGCGGAAGCTTAGAAACTATCATTACCAATTATTATTGCTTCATCGATTATCAGAAATAAACAGTAGTCTTTACGAAAAAGCGTATCGTTTTGTTATGCAGGAAACAACTATATAATTACTTTTTATCACTTCGATTAATCCTGAATTACTGAGAGCTGCAGGTATTATCACTGACAACAGATAGTTTTATATATGCATACATAATATGTATACTGTATCGAACAAATGTCACTGCTGATTTATTTGGAGAGGACAACTAATCTGACCTAAGGAAAAGTGGATGACGTGTATGAACGCTTTAGTTCACGATTTACTAGTTGACTTTCTTCGTTAGAAGTTGCTTTGCTATAGCATTCATAAATATGTCATACTAAATAACATCCACTCTTTCATCTGAACACGGAAAGGTTCAAATGTATGTACTACTTGATGTTTTAAGTTTCCTCACTAGGTAAAAATCATTCATTTTATTAGCTCATTATCAAAGTACCAAATATTTATCTAAGATTACTAATGACGGCCATCATGAACACTAGCACATTTCACAATAGGCCTAGCCAAACGTTCAGCTTTCAACTTTAACTCTCCTGAGTATCAGTTGAACATGAAATTTATTAATTGTTTACAATAATAATCACTTGTTCGAAAATATATGAAATGTTTACTCCGAAAATTAATAAATTTTGTTTGGTATTATTCATTTCAGCGTATACGCGTTGGGTCAACAAACCCTGAAAATTATTTGACTCAGGATGTACTGTTTTGATATGACCAAGTTTTATTACTATTTTATTTATTTTCATATAATGAAGGGATAAAAGCATAGCAAAAGTAATTTAGGGAGATATATAGACATACTTTTGAAGAATAATTATCACTTTGCAAGATAATATTCATCAAAGACTGGTATCGGTTAGAGGACCACTGATAATCTAGGAGCGCAGGACAGTTGTTTCGTCTTATTGTACGACTCCTCAACGGTGTGAATCCACGACTCCACCTCGCCAGGGTTGGAACCTAGGACTTTCAGGTTTCGTGGCCAGTGCGTTGCCTCTGAGCCACTGGGATGGTCAGAATTTTCCTATTTCTGTCAGTTCGCGGTACAGTATGACCCTAGTACCAGTGACTCAAGGATAGTGTGCTCCCCAAGGAAACTGAAGTTCCTGGTTCCTATACATTGTAGAAGTCTCAAACTAGAATGAAATAACTGTTCAGTGCTTCCAATTTGAAAGTGGTTTTCCAACTAATACCAGTTCACGAAGAGTACCAAAGCTGAATTATTAAAATACCCTCAGACTTTCAAACTGAAATAATTATTACAATTCAGCGATTCTATTATATGTATGACAGACATGCGTATTTTAATTTTCGTATTCCATTTTTTTCTAAGGAGGCTGATGAAGATGATCTATAATCGTAAGACTTTTTATTTATATTAGATTCATTAACGGACTAGATACTAGTCTTTAAAAAGAGCGATAACAACAGCTTCAGCAGAATGGCACCCGTCCATTTTTTCCAAAGTCCTCATCAGCTACCCACAACATAAAACAGTTCCAACGTCAATTTACATAACCATTTCCATACCAGAATCAATTCAATAGAAAATTGTCGGCTTGAATTAAAGGTAACATCGATATGATGGAATTGAAGAAACATAAATTCAATGAAATTTGTCTGCATAAATATGCAGAACTGAGAGAAGTAAGTTTGGAAATAAATCGAATGATTAGACAAATATTCTACAGTGGAAGAGGCGTGAGAGAGGGCGACAAATCTATTCAACATACACATATACATCTATTCAACAAGACAATAATGCAAAGCGGCTAGCAGGGGGACCCAGGATGCGGGTTTCGTTTTATTCTGGACTCGTCAGCAAACGCTACCTATTTACAATACCGAAGTCGAAAATACTGGGAATATCAAGGCGTTCGAGTGTGTGCTAATATGCCAACAGAAACCGATCAGTTTGGTCCCATCAACGACGATATAATACAAACAGCACCATATATTTTCAACGTATACTCAACATATTGTCAAAGGTAATATGATTTATACTAAGAATCAATGTGAGCAAAATTCAGATATTTAGCTCAGTAGTAGGAAATGTAAGTTAACAAACCAAAATAACCAACCAGCGTGTATGAATCGATAGTGAAACGTAAAGAATCCAATGACTGTCAACAAAACAAAAGTCTTTACCATACTAGTGACAGACTGATAGTTGTTTCTTCCTTCTTCTTCATCTGTTTATTAATTATCTTGAACCTTCCTCACATTAGATATAAGTTGTATCTAGACAAATCTCAGCATGTTTGAAATAAGAAATTCCGACGTTTTGCATGGAAGTATGACCCGAGTTTCTTCAGGGAAATAATCAAAACCTACATGGTCATAGTTGTATATAACAAGTCAAAAATCGTATAGTTGATCTTATTGTGCTGTCGTAACTGAATTATGATTGTTTTTTGATAGGATCACTGGTCATACACACTATGATATATTGATACATAAAATGCATTAATGTAAGCAAGTATGTGTTGTTTGCAGACTTCGGTTACTACAAAATAAAAGCGGTCATACGTGGCATGGTCGTCAACGCCTGAACAATATGTAATTATTGTAGGTATGCGGCGAAAAAATCGTCATTTGTGCCTATGTATAAAAACGGAAGGTTCAGATATAACTTAGTTCTAGTGCCAACTTTTCATTCGGCGCCCAAGTTTTCGTGAAACTATCCGGTCAAATTTTGGCCGACATTCATATAAATTACTTTCTAATATATTGAATGAATTTGTCACGCCTCTTCCACTGTAGAATATTTGTCTAATCATTCGATTTATTTCCAAACTTACTTCTCTCAGTTCTGCATATCTATGCAGACAAATTTCATTGAATTTATGTTTCTTCAATTCCATCATATCGATGTTACCTTTAATTCAAGCCGACAATTTTCTATTGAATTGATTCTGGTATGGAAATGGTTATGTAAATTGACGTTGGAACTGTTTTATGTTGTGGGTAGCTGATGAGGACTTTGGAAAAAATGGACGGGTGCCATTCTGCTGAAGCTGTTGTTATCGTTCTATTTAATTATTTGAAGGGAAAGAATTGTATGATATCCCATTTTTTTAATGCTATTTAAATACTTGAAATCCTGTTGGTAAGACTGAAGAAACCTTTATTCTCTTCAGCATCAGTCTTCAGATACAGATCAGTTGTGTAATGAAATCAAATAAACTTCCACAGAAAACAATGTGGTATACGCGAGGTGCTCATTTATGACTAAATATAATTTGGCGACGAACTGGTACAGCCCTTTAAAGGTTAGGACGTTCCTGCTTAAGTGATACTGTGCTAAATTTCAACTATGAAGCTGAAGTTAAATGATGAGTAATTTTTCATTTTGGGCAGTACGTGTTTTAATTAATCCTAATTCTACTCAAGATCCGACTGAATGGTTTTTCGGATGTTTAGAGCCAGATGCAAACTTGTTATCGAATACAGAGCATCTAGGAAAAAATGAGCGCCTTCGAGAAACGGAAATTGATCAGCTCCTTGTTTTCCTTATTATAAACTAAAGGTGTAGCCAAGCTGTGACGCGAAAACCTGATAAATAATTTTTTTGCGTACAAAAGGTGGTTTTTATACCACAGTAGGTTAGTGGATAATTCCCTGAAGTTGATAGAACTGGATTTTAGGTTGAAAACTAATAGGAAACACCACCAGTCTCTAGGATATCGGTGCATTCAGCTGACGAGTATCAAAATGAGCCAGAAGCGCATCACGAATTTCGCCAACAAAATTATAAGTAACTGCTCATCAATTACTATCTCACCGGCTGCTAAATTAGATCATGTCATCCAGATGTAAATCGAACTAGAAAGGAATAAGCAGAGTTTTTGGATTTTATCTTGATGACCATGAACAAACAGTTGTCAAGCATTCCAAAGATGGCTCCTTTAGTTTGATGTGAAGTACAGATATCCTTGACAGCTGGGTTTTTTAACTCAGTCGATGGTACACCAAGCGGCTAGTGCGGATCTCTCTGACATGAATATCAATGCAGTCAAGGTTTCATCGTTGTACTCAGTCATATAACCATATTGAGTATAAATATGTCCGGTGTACCTAATCTCCTTCTACAATGCTGTTTGTAAAACTATTGATTTAAAATGCAACTATTAGTCACCATGTGGTAAGTTGCTGGTATACTGCAATGGGATTTCTGTGTGTCACGATTTAAATCCTACTTTACTAAAAATATGTGGCAAAAATGTTAGTGATGACATCGCATCATAACTGTTCGCTCATGTACAATAAGACGTAGAAGAAGGAAGTGTTTATCATTTATTTCGGTGCGCAATAGTGAGATGATATGAACAGGTTTCCATGACACTGATTGTGGGCTTAAATAATGGTTATAATAATGCACCGATCCGGACCGCGTACATTTATTGATACAACCATAACGAAAACGAGACTGGTGATGAAAGTGAACTCAAAAAGTATCTTTTCTACTGATAAATAATAATTTGCAGCATGCACCATACTTTGCTCTATCTCGTCTGCTCAAATTTTTGGGATTTGTCCTTATATGTGGGACCTGTGAAGCCGCTCTTTCTGTGTGGAGTCTTTGACCTCCAATGGGAACCATACCTCCAGTAAAATCTGGTTTCTCAAAATCTGTCGAAGTTTTCATCATCGTTGTATATTCACACGTATACTTACGTGCTTAGAGGTACATATACATGAATCTAAGTTACCGTGTTTTATATCACTATTATCATCTTCATTCCATAAAGCTTACTTAACACTGATTATGGTGGAGTGTGGATTCATCGTCACACAAAGATTTACTACCATGCCAAATTGTTGAGAATTCTGATTCTCTTGTAAGTCCACTTATGATATCGAAATTTCTTTTTTGTAAATTCAGTTTATTTCGGAGATGATTTCGATCCCTTCATGGTTTTACTTTCCAAGATTTTGCTCACAAAACTCTTGGGGTAGTAATCTAACTAAACTGTACACTTGTAGCCACCAAATTTTACCAATTCAAAATATTCATTTGAATCTTTAGCACAACCTCATGCAAAGTGATTTTAATTTTTATGAACATCAGTAAATCAATTCATTTTTTGCATAGCAAATGCAAAACAAGTGTACCACATGCATAAATAATATTTCTGAATACATAGATAGTCTCATTTCTGACTTCTGAAATGTTTAATACCAAAACACAGTTAAAAACCTAACTTTGAATTTTTACTAAAACAAGACTCCTTTTCTACATCTGTTTGTTACAAGTTTTCGACTCTAACTATACGTGTTTTTTGTATCGGTTGTACAAAAGCCTATTCACCAAACCCTGTTTCTGTACATTTTCGCAATACTATGAATTCACTTGAATAGTACCTAGTGTAAGTATGTTTGGTACATACTGTCCTACTTTTATCCCTATATCAAATATAAGACTACAAATACAGTTCATAAAGGTAGAGAAGCCATAAATGTTTAAAGAAATTTTAATATATTAGGTTCTTAAAAAATGCCGATCAACGGTAGCAGAAGGTCTAATGAAATGTTGCTAACATACAACTTATATCCCAGCGATCGGTTTGTAGTGTAAAACATTACTAAAAGTTCTGTTTTTTCACCAATATTACAATAACACTTATGGGCAACTGACTTACTTTCTTATATAATTCATAGTCCACTTCCCATTGAACATGTATCCAACCAGTGATTGAATCCAATGCGAAAAGTCTCATAAACTCAGGCTTAGTCAGTGAACTTATTCTATATTTGATTTCAGCATTACTTCCTTCATCGATATCAGTAGCTTTAACCTTGATTGAAACAGAATGAATAGGTGAATCTTATTGACGATTGCATGAAATATAAGAAAGTGACTTTTAAGATACTGTATATTATCTCAAAGCAGATTTATTGGTTTTACAGCAACCATTTAGTCAGCGAGCTGTGGATTTAAAATGAAAAACGAGTGAACATGAAATCTTTATTAAGTATTCACCTTCCAATTAAACATTGATAAGTAGCGGAAACGGAAGTTTAACAAAGTATTATTACATAATATGAATGTAGCCCTAATACTCATTGGTACAGAAACTTTTAATAAAATATTTAGAAGTTATAATTAAGAAAAGAAATGATCTATGAAGGTAATAATTTTTAAAGAGAATGCATGACGGAACTGAATATACGAAATAAGCCAGAAGTTATAAAACAACCACAAGCATTGGACAGGAGGATGTCATTTTTAAATATAAACGCAAGTTCATGTTTACTAATTAAATTATCAATAATCACCATAACGGATACTTTAGGCCTGCATAAAAAAACGAATGAACACCTTTCACACAGTTCACCGTAATCAAAGTCTAGTGATTGGTCACGAGAAAAGAAATTACTTCACTTTAGAAACCTTTAGTTTAGTCATGTCATAGAAGTTTATGACGCAGGAAGTATTCAGTTAGAAAACAAGAAGGAGAAAATAATGAAACTGCATTCCTAGATGTTTCTAGCAAACGAATATAAGACAGATCCCTTCAGACTCAAGTGTATCGGAAGGTGCCACACATAGATAAGGTTTTAAACATTAACGACTCATCAGAAAATTTTTGTACAGAGATTACTGACAAATGCCAGGACTCATGGCAGTACTAAGCAGCTGCTGAAGTCTGAAGAAAATCACCTGTGCATTGTTCGGAGTCTTTGACTATGATTAGAGGAAATTGGAAACTGAAAACCAGTTCAGAAAACCAATTCACATCGATCAAATTCTTCAATTACAGTATCAACAGCCCAACAATGCACAAAACCAGTTTTGTAAAAACAATGTTCCAGAGATAAAAGATACTTCCTTGTATATGAACCAAACAGAGCAGAAAAGAAATGATCGGTAGATAGATAGATAAATAAGTAGATTCATAGAAAAATGACCAAATTTTCTTTCCATGATAGAGATTTATTTGGTGACAGAAAGTGATTTAACGTTTTTCAGGTTTCATAGTATGAAGTTAAGTCAGTCAGTCTCCAAATATTGTATTCAATAGTGGTTGGTTTCTGTTTCATCGTAAAACTTCAGCATAAACTGATGACCAATTACTGTGGCTATTTCGTATCATGGTTTCAAGGTTGCAAACTTCATTCAGATGTCTCTTGGTATTCTTACACAACCTCAATGCTACCTTTCGTTATCGTTGGTTTAGAGTAATAGATACATCCAGTTTGAGTTAAATTGGATAAAAGTTGAGTTTCGAAAAATAGATAATATTTATTGACTCAGTGGATCAATTAAAAGGAAGTGCAGGACAGAATGTATCTGATTTTGCTGGGTTATTTTTATAATTTATTGACAGACTCTACTTTGATTCACTTTGCTTTTTATTTTATCATTATTTGTTTATTTTTATCACAGCAATATTATAGCCATAAAATTCAAGTTGTCTTTTAATTAACCTAAATTTTAAAAATTCTAGTGGCGCCCAAAACGATTTAGACAAACAAATAGTTATTTATATGCAATAAACTAATAATGCGACTAAATTATGTTTATGAGCGAAATAAATAGACAGATATACAAAACTAAATAATATGACTGAAACTGAGATATAACACCACAATCAACTACTATGGCTATTTTAATATCTTTATAGTAAGGCGTCTAATAAATTTTGATCTTTATCCATAGGAAATGCAATTGTTCATCTGTGAACTAGGTACATAATTGAGTTGGGTAGGTATACAATGCTTTGTTCCTCAGATTATACTACTGAATAGAGTCGTATTGAATTAATTTGTTTGTGAACTGAAGAATAAAATTATAATCATTTCTCCGATTTGTGTGTTATAATGATCGAATACCTTCTGTTCGTTCACTCTGATATCTACAGTGACTGCATAAATTGAAGAAATTAAAAATTCAGCGTTAACTAGTGTCTTAAAACTTATGAAGATTTTTAACAGCATGAAGATTGGTAATTCTGTTTTTGCAAAAATAATCAGCTGCTAAAGTTCATCTGATCAGCTGCTATCACTCATAATTTTGAATACGTTTTTTACAAACAAATACCCTAGGCATTAATAAGGAGCTACTAAAAGAAGAAACGGTGATAATTATACAATGTAAACTCGTGGATCAGAACTTAACATGATGAGATTGACCAAATTCTATTTATCAGCACTTTAATACAATATCTGATGTTAATCTGCTGAAGCAATCATGCTCGAAATGGATAATTGTTCTGAATGCAGTGTCGTTTGAAAACTCAAGTAAAATAGAATTTCATCACGGTCTCACTGTAACTGTCCTATAAATATGAAAATTTCATGTATAACAGCACACATATACATATATACACATATACATATACACACATATACATATATGCATGACTGATAAGTGTAAATAAAATATCTTGTTGGTAGGTTTGGTTTAACACACTCCAATTCTTAAAACGAAATCAAAAGTACTCAACAATCGACCAGATAATAGGACAACAGATTCAGTAACCGAGATTAACTAAAACAGGAATTTATCGTGGCGGTAAGAGAAACAAATTGCGCAAACAAATAGCATAAACAATTGGATCGGACACAGGACCTTCAGGTTCCGTGGCAATTACGTTACCATTTACCCATTGCATCGGAATCCCGTGGTTGGTATTTCCAACGTTTTTCAGTTCACAATAAAGTGAGACCTCTATTCAATATCACTGTTGAGTATTTATCCCCACGTCCGTCAAGTGTGTACCACCGTTCATGACTTCGCATTGGAACTTCAGGAATCACCTCTCGAAGTTAGTCACCAATGAGCACTAGATCTGTATATTTTTTAAGTTTGTCAGGATTTTTAGTGATAAATACCAATTTCTAATCACTTAAAATCCCATAAACCCTAAAATCAAATACATTACATTAACAATATTACACAGTTTTACACCCTGAGCCTTATCGTTGGAGATTTTAAGGAGTTGAACTAATTTTGATCACTTATCTCGAATCTGTTGACCAATCTTGATCATATGTTTCAAAATATGATCAACCTAGATTAGCCAGTTCATGTTCAGCGGATTGCATATCATGTACTTAAGTCCAATATAAATAGGTGGAAAGGCAGTTTGATTATTGGGTTTTTGTTCATTAAATCATCACCCAATACATGTAATAGGAATGACGCAAAACGTATACCAGAGATATGGAAGATTTTACTACTAATAAAAATAAATCATATGAGGAGACTTAACTATCAAAATTAAATGTCGAAAATTGTGTGATTACGTTGATATGATTATGAGAAATAATCTATGCTCGGAACGTCATTTATAACACTGTGTGTTATAAATCAAATAAACAAATCTAATATGGAAAATTTATCCATGGAATAGTATACTGTATTTCTTTGCATTCATAAGCCAATTTCTTACAGCAATACCGTTTTTTGAGACACAACAGTATGAGTGGGTAAGAGTACATGATGCGCTCAAAAGTTTCTTTTAATAGATTAAAACAAAACTAAAGGAAAGAATTTGATGAAATAAATTCAGTGTCCCAAAGTTTAATTAGGCAGCCAAAATTAACATACTAGAGCTCTGCAACTACCTAACACACCTTCACAACGGCTCACAGAATTAAGAGTTTGAGTATACTGAAGCCATAGCTAATTACCTTTGTTCAAAAATAAAAGGTAAGTCAGTTTGTGACTCCTTGAATAGTGACTGACTCTGTGCTTCGAAAATTCCACTACTTCCTTCAAACACTACAGAATTGTGATGGCTATTTTTCTGACCCACTATACATTCAGATCAGTATTTGTTATTGTTTTTGCATTCGTTTTACAAATACTACTTTCCTTGTCATTTCTTATCTTACATATGTATTATTTCGGTATACGTAGCTTGCATATAATTATGCAGTCACTTATTGACAGACCTGAATTTCTCACATCCATTTAAGAACATTCATCCGATCTCATAAATTTGCTCTTAGTCTAACTGAGTTTATATCTAAGTGACTCTCCCTATATTACCCTTCATTCTGATTTCTGTCGAATAAATTAATCTCTAGAGAACTTACACTTGTGGTCCTGTTATCCAGCGACACAAGGTATTCATAACTAATAATAACCGTTTAAAATAATAAAAAATGATATAACGACAATCCGAAAATACTGTAGTCAGTGCATTATTAAACACAGTCAAATAAATAAACGTGTGAATTTCTTTACTCTTGAAAAGCATTGAAAGTCTTATTTAAAGACCATAACTCTTTTGATGTATTACCTGTACCACTGGTGTATGAGGTCGAGCATTCTCACGTAAATCTACAATGTATGTATCTTTTTCAAAAATTGGAGAATTATCATTGAAATCAGTTACATGAACTTGCAAGCTGATCGTTGAATTCTTACTAGGTGATCCTCCATCAACAGCAGTTAGATTGAATTCATATACAGATTTGGTTTCTCTATCCAATGGGCTTCGGACAATCAGGCGAAGTTCATGTCTTGGACCAGGTGGAGATCTGTTTACAGAATGAGAAAAAGACGGAACGCTACTTATTTGTATGTGATCAGACATTTGCAGATTTGAAATAGATGTTTCTCGATCCAACGATGTCCATTCTAATTCAAACTCTGGAACCTGAGGTTCAGTAACATATTTTATGATGTTATTTGGTCCAGCATCTTGATCTACTGCAGGTGTTAAATGTACAGCATCTCCAATAAGACTACTTTCGGAAACATAAACACGCATTACATCCTAAAGAAAAAAATAAACAAACAGAATATGCTTTCTTTATTGAAACGAAACTTCCCCATTTGTAAAGTAAAAACCTTCAATTCATGAGTATGTAAAATACTGTTTTGCAATAGTTAATCAGCTTTACAAAAAGCCATCTGATTTTTATTTCTTTGAAAGAATAGCTTCGCTCTTCATTATGTGAATACAAGTTTTACACTTGTCAGCCGTGTTTACAGCATATTATCGTAGCAACCACAAAAGGTTACAAACCAAAAGAGGTTGTGCAATTCACATTGGATTGTTTATTTGATATAGCACACAAAACTACAGTATTATCTTCTGAGTGACATTTTCGGCACGATGTATTGGTAATTATCATCTGATCTTGGTATGAAATGATTATCACCAATAAAGTGTACTCGATAAGTCATCTAGTGAATAATACTGTATCAGTCAGCTATATCAAATGATCAGCACATCATAGAATTACAAACAGTCGCTGTACTGAAGTTTCAAGGATTAGATCAGTTCTGTAGACTGAAAAACAAGGAGCAGAGAAAAACTGCTATGGTAACTACTGGAGTAACCCGAAAGCCAATCTAATAACTGTTGAAATGGCCAATTTGATTTCTTTAATCTGTGAAAAATTTAACTATCCAGCCAAAACAAAGAAACCTAATTGGTTTTATCAGTAGTTGCTGTAATTGCCTTCAAGGTCAATCGAAATGATGATATTTTAGCACTGAATGGTCATCGACAGGCAGTCGATAACTCTGAAATGTTTCAAATGGGGGGCACGGAGTTCAATTTCCCACTAAACATAGATGCAAATGAGCACTGTTGACAGGTGGTGCTTAGATGTTTCAATAAGAAATGACGCACTACAGAGACAATAATTTATGCGAATGAGGTGATGGGGAGGAGGCAGCTCAAATGCCTAGTTGTCACACTTCTGAATGCATGGTTTTGATTTCCTAGATCATGTTGATCTGGATTCATATATAAGAAGAAAGCTCCAGGTGAAAGAATTTAGCGGTATATTTAACATTTCTTATCGGCTTAATGTCACTCTACTCAAGCTAAGCAATTAAATTGTTGTTCATCAGAAAATGCATCTGACTTACTGCAGGTTATTAGTAACTTATCCAACAGATAACTGAACTACTACATGTATTATCAAAACCAAAGTTTGTTACTTGCTGCTTAAGTCTGAAAGTGTACTCAGACCTATAGATAACCTTACTGTTTTAACTGGCAAACCTGATGAGTTTTTTGGAGGCCTATCTTATTCCCAGATTACCGAGACAGAAGATGCTTCGATATTGTGCGACCACCTGCAGTTCGGATTTACTTTGTAAACAAACTGAAAACCTTAGTCTGGTATTCGTGATAAACTAGCATCAGCTGAAGAAGCACTGGAAACCTGGGAGCAGTGAACTACAGTTTTCCCTCAGTATTTGACTCTTCAGAAGTGCGTACCTATGAGCTCCACATGGATCGAATCCAAGGCGTTTAAGTTCAAGTAAGTTACAACTGAGCTTTTAAGTCAGAATTGAATAGCCAACATTCCTTACTTCAGTCAGTTAGAGATATAGCACGACCTCCACCCAATGTCGTCGTTGGGTATCTGTCCTCATGTTGGACTTGGTTGGCCCTACTGGTCACGACTTCTCATTGGGACTTCAGGAATCACCTCTCGAGGCTATTCATGAACAGACGCTAGATTATTTCAATCTTGAGTTTTGTGGAGATTTATTAATTGGCTTCAGGTTGGAATTCATCATCGATTGATATCAGCTGGAGGAACACTGGAAACCTGGAAACACTATTCATCTGTTTCTTCCTAGTGTGAAACTCCTGGAGAGGTGATTCCTAAAGTTCCAATGAGAAGTCATGAACGGTATGGCAAACCTGGTGGCTGTGAGGATAAATAATCAACGATGACACTGAATGGAGATCTTGCTCTATCGTGAAATGACAGAAGTAGAAAATATGGACCAATGAATTCTGACCTAATTGGTCAATAGTAACGTGCTGGCCATGAAACCTTGAGGTCCTGGGTTAGATCCATGGTGGGGTCGTAGGTGTGCAATGCTGAGGAGTGCCATGCTAGCACGAAACAGCTGCTGTCCAGTGCTACCAGGTTTCTAATGTTTCTCCAATTTATGTCAGTCTATGGTGAATTGCAACCTTAAATCAATAAATAAATCTTCACATACCTTTATATTGAAAACATATATATTATTTTGAAGATTAGTATACTGAGTCTTAAAGGTAAAGAATCAACAAATGGTATTTAATTCAGCGTCATTTTTATCCATTTATTTCTTTTCAATAAAGCATAGGCAGTGTAGAAAATTATTTTGTTCACCTTTACATATGAAGAGATCCGCTTTTGTAACTGCTTGCTATAAAGTGCAGTATCCTTTAAACAGAGAAATATCATTGGTGTTGTGTTATTACTATGTTTTATTGTTGATTTCATCTTTCAATAGGACGTCTTCTGTAATTTCAAGAATAACAAAGTCACTACAAATCTTCTTGTTAGACTGACTTATGTATACCTATTTCATCACTTTTTGATAACTACATAGCTGCTTTATCTCTGTAGAACAGGAGTGACCACAAACTATCGCTGAGTTTCCCAATGTGGCAAAGTGTGAGAAATACGTACATTTGGTTTGATCCTTGATTGCGTTTATGAATGTTATTGACTTATATTGTGCAAAACTGAACTACAAAATAAGTTGTATAACATATGTGATTGATAATGTGGCTTCTGAAATCCACATATGTTACTTATTTACGGTACAAATCCTAATAAGAATGAAAACACGAATTATAAAATGATAATCAACAGATTAATTCACTCATGATGGTGTGATTTCTATCACCCCCACCAAAAACAGAAATAATTCCCACACAAGATGTACATTTTTGTTTACATACCTGTTTATGCGAATCCTCTGCAAAACTTAGAAAGCCTGATTTACTATTCAATAACCATGTTGGTGCATTATCATTGATGTCAATAATCTGTACATTGACAGTTATAATATTTGTATACTGATCATCTGAGCGAATGTTTAAATCTAAATGACAATTGGAAACTCTTTCGTTATCAGTAGGACTGTATGCTGAGTTTAACTGTGTATGCTTATCAGCATAATCTGCATGATAATCTGTATAACTGAGGTATGTACAACAGGATTTAAACATTGGACATAACTGGTCTCGATCTATGCGCCTAGCAACTCTGAGTACACCAGTTTGTGCATCAAGATGAAAGTATTTTGACTGTGGTTCACTATTGAATATTTGATAATAATAATGATGATTCGATTTTCCTATTTTTTTATCCTCGCTGATGCTATCAGCTTGATTGTGATTATTGTCACTGATAGTAGTAGCTGTGCGATTAATTAAAAACTGTAAATTAGCTACTTCTCTGCCAATCGACTCTTCTTCAAGTAAGCGTACATTCAGTTTTTTCAACTCACCTAAGAACATTGTCTGAGACACTGGTTTATGCTTCTGAGCGAATCGTGTTTTGCGTTTATGTACAACAGTATGTGATGTAGCAGTAGTAAGAATCAAATTTATTATGTACATACAGTGAATGATATACGAGGAGAAAATCTTCATTTGTTTCCATATATGTGGACACTTGAATTCATAGAAGAATAATGTGAAGTTTCTGTAGATTTGTATGTGTATTCATTTAATTACGACCTAAGAAAAAAAGTACATATAAATTTAACTTTTTAAAAGCATTTGGAATACCTTTTTGAGGTAAGATATGAACTAGAAATCATAATTCATAGTTTTGTTGATTCTAGTTGCGTTGACAACAGCAAAAATTAGCAATACTTCTATAAAACAGTTGACATCATGTTGCCTTACAGTAGTTCATTCCAACAAGAATCTGACGTTTTGGAGTCTTAAAAAGCCATTTAGAATACCAGTGAGAACAGCGAATAATGATATCTACCAGAAAAATATTTTACAGACTTCAGAATCAAACTTTGACCTGAAAGAGCTGCATTGGAAGAATTAGGCAGCTTAACAAACTTGTTGCTTAGCACCTAACGTCATGGCTAGGAAAGGAACAAGTGAAGTCAATACGAAGCTCAATTCTGACACGTCTACTACTTGCCTACTTCATATCCTTGTTACTACACATTAAAGAATCCTTTATGATAGGTTTAATGTTTTGTATATGAAAAAATTTACGTAAAGCCTGATGAGAGTTGAATTAGTTGAGTACTAGGCAACTGTATTATTTTATTTAAAGCTAAATATTTGTTCACGAAAGCGCAAAGTTCACTCCGTAACTCTTGTAAATTTAACGATGCTTAGTCTTTTTACTAAAGTTTTTTTAATGAATGGCGATTTGATTTTTCTGGATAAACGTTTAATAACTCAACTCGGAGGTTTGTATGGATTTATTTGTTTCAAGGTCGTATTCATTGTTGACTAACACCAGTTGGAGAACCTGTGAAAGTCTAGAAGCAGTAGAAAGCTGTTTTGTAAGACTCAGCAGTGCACCCATGACTCCACCAACAATCGAATTCAGGACCTCTGCTTTTCACAGCCCGCATATTATTATTTAACCACTGGGTCGAAACCCAACGGTATACATATTCTTACTTCTTCCAGACCGCGATATAGCACGGCATTCACGAAATCCTGTTGTTGAGTATCGGTCCTCATGTTCGACCTGGTTCACCCCACCGATTACGACTTCCTGTTAAAACTTCGGGAAATCTGGTCTCGGAGCAAGTCGCTAATGAGTGCCAGACAGTAATTCAGTTTGGAGGTTTGTAGGGGCTATATGGTAGTTAGGTTGGGATATTCCTTTGCTAGGCAGATTTAAAAATTAGGTGTAGAGTTTTACTGAATGTTCTTTCCAAACTTTCATTATATGCAGGAACTTTTGAGTTGGATTTCAAAATCAACTCTAAATCAGAGGATTAAATGTAAATGTATTAAATTAAGCTGCAATCATTATGAGACAAACAGATCAATGTCTAGATTTCATAAGTTCAAATTGCTGTACCTCAAAGTAGTATGCAAAGAAGAAACGGATCTATAAAAATCAACATTATTATAATAAACAGTACAAGAAGGGCGAAGGAATAGTAAAACAACGTTGAGTGAAGACAATAAAAAGGTTCAGGAATGAAAAACAGCGTATAAATCAGCATCATTTTGACTGGAACTAAGTCTTGTCATCTATTAACTCAAACCATTGGTTTCAAGAGTTTCGACAACACCAACTGGATAGCTCACATCTCCTTATGCTGCTTAAACCACTAGTAGCAGACTTCATGAACTCGTTCAAATTCTGATTTATATGATTCAGTCACGTGCAATAAAATGTACAAAACACAGGATTTCCAACCATTCAGTGATATGAAAGTAGAACACTTATAGGGAAATAATTCAAAAACATTTTGAAGAGCTAAGTAATTTTGTACGTTGTATTCATGTTAGAATTTGAGGAGTTTCTAAACTGCGTTCGTCGAAAATAAAAATTTTATTCAGTGAGTTGTCTTTTATTAAATTTCTCAAACTCTTGGTAGAAGCTGAGAAATAATCAGCATAACACTTTGAGATTTTAAGCGGGAGACAATTGCTATTAACCCTTTTAAAATGCCTGAAAGTACTTAAGACTACAGTTACAGTCTGAATTAATTTCAAAATTACTTCATAAATGCTGACATGAGATGGTTGTAGAATAATTAGGTTGGTGACACACAAGTATTTCACAGTCTTTAAGGGCCATATTTGATGGAATAAAATTTGTTACTGAATCCTAAGAAACTTGTTGTTTTTTGTCAATAATAAATTCATTTTCCCTTGAACAGCATCTTATTACATGTGAAAACATACGTCTCAGAAAATACTAGCAAGAAACTGAAAAAAGTGTGAGCAAGACCATTCTTAACTACCGTAAGTAACAACATAGCGTCAATCAATGAAAAAGGATTCCGCGAAGAAAATTCTCTGTACGATCAGTCATTTTCGAAACCCCTGTGCCGTAGTCATAGTTATTACACTATTATGTATCCATCAACAGCTAATGGATTCATATAAAGTCATCAACAACGGTTAATAAAGTCGCAAGGTGATAACGGCTAGAAAGATAACTCAAGGTCTTCAGAAACTGCTGGCCCTAGCAAAAAACAAAGAAGTGAATCAACTGTCTAAGGAAGATTACGACCAAGGCCGTACACAGCATATCCTACAGAAAGACATCTCCAAACACTCTTCTGCCTGGTTATCTGAAGAACAGTGTAAAACCAACAACAGCTCAATTCTTGAGCATTTGGTTAACTTTGATCACTGTGCTCCACGAAATCCTTCTTTCGAATTCATTTAAAAAGTGAAGTCAAACATTTTGAAGGAAGTGCATTTTTGCCACCTCAGCGCAACAGAGGATCTGGCAATCCAGTGGTACCAACAATGATCTGTACTTTCGAAAGAGATACATTCAATACCTAACAGTGACTATGAAATCGAAAAAATTCTAGTTTTACTTTATAATTTGCTTGTAATATATGCTGCAGAGTAATTAAGTTTATGAATTCAAAACAATTTTCGTAGTTCTTGACCATTTTTCACCACTATGACCTATCAAAATACATTATGATTACGTCCAAGTGAGTCAGCTTCTATCACTTACTCGTCCCGACTCTGAGGGAATGGCGTAAATAGTTTTCCCCTATTTCTAATTTCTTTATGCAGTATGGTATTGTGAAGCCAAAAAGTTATTTTACTACAGGCAAACACATTTACAAATCATCATCAAAAGTTTTTGATATTATACGTTCTTATCTATGCTGAGGCATGCACCCAAAGACATATTCAGCCTCAGACTTAAAATGCTGAAAAGATAAAGTGCAAGGATTTTTGTCTTCATGACCTCAAGTTAACCGATACGACAAAATAACTGATAACCACTGACTTATTTCCTGCCTTACAAACTACTAGAGGCTTAAGAACTCAAAATTCTGCAAAATTTATTCAAAATGATAAGGAACTGTGATAAATTCATTGTTCATAAAATTGTACTTAAAATACCGAAAAGACATGAAATGAATGTAGAGTATAGAATGTAAAATCTTATATTTTCATCTGGTTTCCCTCAGCGAAAAAAGACAACATGAAGTCTACACAATAAAATGCATCTTTTGTGTATTTTGTGGGTCCGCATTATTTTCTGTCCAAACTAATCAGTCCGCCAATAAGCCTCATTTATGCAGTGGTAAGCGTTTGTCGGTTGATTCATGCCATATATATCTATCTACCCATAGTTGAATTTCGTCATTTAGGATTCATAGAAATAATTAGAAACACATGCATTGCAGTAGGTTTGATAAAAGTAAATTAATTTATTCCCATAACATCTGCAAACGTATGGTGATGTATCAAAATAACAATTAAATTATTCAGAGACTCGAATATCTGCGAAATAAATTTCCAATGATTTGTAAACGACCAAAATTGAAAGCCGTTTTATTCTTTAGGCCCAAAATTCCAAATAGATTTAAATCAGTTTGTTTAATACTTTTAACAGAATATATTTCCTAGGTAAGTCTCAAAGACACTGAAAATAATCAGTGAAGCTACTTCCTTAAAGAAAAATTGTACACTTTATGCAGTAGTAGCTGCGCAGTTCTAATAAGTATTAAGCGAATATTCAAGTGAATGATTACTACATGCTAATTTTTGTGCTTTAGTTGCATAGAAGTTTATCAATTTCTTTCTGTTTGCCTACTTATTACGTTTCATATTCATAGGCTTATTTTTTAAGCAACATCACTCGGTAGTCTTCTTCATCAAGTAAAAGAAAGAAAGTATAAACTTTATATTGTTTTCTTGTAGGAACGTGCATTGCAACTGTAAATTTAGTCAAGTCATGAAAGTTATTTGACAACTAAGTGTGATCTAGCGCTAAACTGAGTATTCCTCAAACCACCAGTGAGTTTTTGACACCAAGGTGCTTTTCCTTTTTCAGAATCAATGAATTCAGCGGCAACTTTTTAAGTCACATCAGCTGAGGTTTTGGAGCCAATAATAGCTTCTTAAATTATGTAGGTTAGCAACCAGCAACATCCTTGTGCACTACACGACTAGCCACAGCTATTTTTTGACAGATGATTTTACTATGTGACACCCAAAACGTGGTAGGTAGGATGGAATTCAAACTAGCAACCAAATGATCGAAAATAGAGTCACTAAACAAATGACCAATAGCCTCAAGGATTCAACTTCCCAGCTTCAGTGAACAATAAATTATAATTTAGTAGTTTAACAACACAACATACAGTATATTAGAGTAAACAAAAGTGAAATTCTTACTTACATTCCCAAAGGAGCACCTAATTTCGCATGGTTAAGCTGACTGATTTTCACAAAATAGGATTAGGTGATATTTGAGAAAAGGATTTTGGCATAAATGCAAACACACATGTATCTAGCAAGAAGTTCAAAACAGCTTCAAGCAGAATTATAAAAAGCCCATGGCTTCACTTCCGACTCATCTTCAGAATCAGTATGAAGTCTAAAAAGCTGGATTAGGGCTCATACAGACTGCTAGTTGTGTAATATTGAAAACAGATCAAATATAAAACAAAGTAAACTGTACGTCTTGAATATTTCAAAACTGATAACACTCAGGTGGCAATATAAACTAGTCAGTACAATGAAAATCCGTCACACACAGT